TTGGTAGGAGAAAGTGAAAAGTAAACATTGTAGGCTAAATACCCCAATATACAGAGTGGATTTTCCAAAGCTTTTTAGGGTTTATTTATATTTTCATTAAAATATGCAAACAAAATAAGGATTATTCTGAACTGCTTGTGAAACACATACATTTTCTCTTTTAAATATTTATGATTTAATTAACTGCTTTATAAAGAGATACTGAAGATCTAAGTTTAAGCTTGCTGTGCCAAGTAGGGGGTCCAGTAGGTCCCAGAGTAGGGGACTCTTCTGATTTTAGCTCCGAAAGACATGCATTGGCAAAGCTTCTCCTTCAGTCCAGGCAAACAAGGGTGGTTGGCCATGCTAATATCATGTATAGCATCTTTCTTACCTGGTACTCTTCCATTCATGTTAGCCATTTTTAATTTATGTTGTAGATTAAGAGTTTACTATTAGGAGGGTGGTCTTCCCTTTGAAAGTAGACATTAACTAAAACAAAATAAAACCAAAACCACATTTATGTAGTTTATATTAAGTTTAGATGGTTTATTTTGGTGGCGGGCAACCTAATAGATGAAAACAATCTATATATATAAAAGCCTAAGTGACTGTTACGACTGAACTATCAGAACAAGCGGTCGCTATGATGCACACTGGCCACCAGGGGGCAAATACTCAATGCAGGAGCTGCTCCCTGGTGGTCAGTGTGCTCCCACAGCCAACCTCCCCCACCAGCCAACATCCTGCAGTCCCTGCCCCTAGCCAGCAGGCCCTGATCGCCTGATCAGGGCCGGGCCCTGGACTGAGACGGTGAATCAGGGGTCGGTGGCCAACCTCCCGTGCCCTGTCCTTGCCCCTGGTTGGCAGGCCCTGATCAGCCCACTGCCTGCCCACTGCAGAGGCGGTGTGGTGGAGAGGGAAGGAGGAGGGGGGAGGTGGGGCACCGCGTGGTGGCAGGGCACCAACAATGGTGGCGTCCCTGTCTGGTGTCTGTTCCTTCCTTGCCCAGTCTGACGACTGTTGCCTACTCTCCTGACCCCGCTGGGGCCTTAGGCCCCGATTGGCCCTGATTGCCGGCCAGGCCTAGGAACCCCACCTGTGTACGAATTTCAGAGAGAAGAAGGTATACCGGCTAGGGACCTCAGAATCCAAGGAATGACATGGTAGAGTTCTTTGTTTTCACTTCATATATCCCAGAGCTGAAGAAGCTGACAATCTGCAAATACTAATGGGAACAGACTTAAAAAATTTCTTTTTAAAAACGCCCTGATAAAAGCCTGCTCTCTCTAGCCACAGGAAAGGAAAACTTAACAAAACAAAACTTTCAGATAATAACCCCGCCCTCTAGTCAACCACCACAGAAATAAACTGAGGCTCTATTCCCATTGACACCCGCAAAAGCTGAGTGGAGAATCTAGACTTCTACTCTTAAGAGGTAGAAATGTGGTGCTTGACTACAATTAGGATGCATGTCATAACCTCCAGGGCAATGCTACTCAAAATATGGTCCACAGACCAGCAACCCCAAAACTGCTTGTTGCCAGTTGTGATGAGAAGATGGCAACAAGATAAAATCAACTACTTATAACTGTTCAGTTGACATTACTTTTCATAGCAAGATTTTTCTAAAAAAAATATTTTAAGGAGAGAAAGAAAGACAGCAAGAGAGGGGCAGGGGGGGATATATTGATTGGTTGCCTCCTGCATGCATTCCAGTTTTCTGGGGATCTAACCTGAAACCCAGGTATGTGTCCTTGATCTGGAATTGAACCTGAGACCCTCTGGTGTTTGGGCTGACCACTGAGCAATACCGGCTAGTGCCATAGCAAGATTTCTGCTGAAAGCAGTAATGTGTGTTTCATGTTCTGGTACAAATTGTTTATCTTTTCAATGACACTTTGCCTGTGCTGACTCACCACCCTCCTTCTCCAGAAACAAGAATCTGACTCACCTGCACCCCAAGCAGGTGCTTCAGTGTTAGAGACTTTTCTGCAAGGTGGTGCCAGCAGAAGTCAGGGAGAACTCCACAGTATCCCCTGTGGCTCACCTGGCTTAGAGAAGTTCCAGGGCTCAGGCCCCTTCCCTGGATCCAAAGACACCTTGACTAACTCAGCTGTTCTGCCCATCACTGGGCTGAAGCCTGAGGATGAGGATGATTATTATTGTATAACTAGTGACCTGGTGCACAGATTCATGCACATTGAAAGGAAATTAATTAGAAGGTGGCAGGTGGGGCAGGCCTGGGCAAGGTGGGCTGGACACGCCCTGGAGCCAACCTCCAGGAGGTGGAACATGCAGAATGAAGGCCCCAGCTGGCAGCCGGCAGCTGGTAGCTGGCAGCCGGCAGCCAGCAGCCGGGGAAGGGAGGCCCTGGTTGGCAGCCAGAAGGCCCCAATTGGCCCTGATTGCCGGCCAGGACTAGGTAACCTAACTGTGCACAAATTTCATACACCGGACCTCTAGTTCATACATAAAAGGCTCAATTTGGAAAGTATAATTCCAAATTTGTATATATTCAATCAATCACACTGCTTTAAGATATACAAAGCAAAAAGAAGTAAAAGGAGAGAAATCAACAATCATTGTGGGAGATTATTAACATGCTTTGATAGTTCACAGAACAAGTAGATAAAAAAAGTGAGTATATAAAAGACTTACACAATGAAAATGAACAAACTTGACATAAGTGACATATATAAATACTATGCCAGATAATAAGAGAATATTCTTTGCTTTCAAGTCCACATTGAATATTTACCAAAGCTGACAACATTCTGGGCCATAAAGTCAAGTCTCAACAAATTCCAAAGGACAAGAATCAGAATATGTTCTCTAACTACAGTGAAATTAAGTTAGAAATTCATAAGAAAATTATTAGAAAATGCCCAAATGTTCCAAAATTTAGCAATATACTTCTAAAAAGAATAATCACAAAGAAGAAAAAAATAGGTTAAAGAAGAAATCACAAAGGAACTTGGTTTTATGAACTAAGTAATAAAAATATGACATAAAATTGTGGAATGCAGCTCAAAACATTGTTTAGATGGAAACTTAAGCCCTAAGAGCTTATCAGAAAAGAAAGGCTGAAAATCAATAATTTAAATATCTCAAGAAATAACAAAAAGCATGTTAGTCACCCTGAAAAGCAAAATGTTTTCACATTCCTGATTCAGGGGAAAGCTTTTAATATTTCACCATTACATAAAATGTTCACTTTGGGTTTTTACTTTTTGTTTTGGCTTTAGATCCTTTATCAGATTAAAGACTTTCCCTTTTATTCCTAGTTTGCTATGAGGTATTTTTATTTGTCTTAATTCATGAATAAGTGTTTAATTTTCATGAATTCAGGAAAAGCATTTGATATTTTTTCCCTCCTTTTTGTTTGTTAAATAAGGTGAATTATTTCAATTGATTTTTTTCAAATGTTATACTACTTCTGGTTGTGATGTATTATCTTTTTAAAAAAATGTTACTTGATTCAATTTGTGTGACCTCATTTGTGGTAATTTTCTTTTCTTATAATTGCCTTGTTGGGTTTTGGTATAAAGATTATAGAGGACTCAATAAAATTGGCAAGAACATTCTCTTTCTCTATTTTCAGAAAAACTTATGTAAGACAGATGTTATTTCTTTCTTAAATATTTAGAAGAATTCCCCAGTGCAGCCATTTTAGCCTAGGAATTTCCTTGAGATTTTTATATTAATTAAAATTTTCAATTTGTTTTTTCTTTTCATAACTTGTGTTTTTGCTTGGGAATTTCATCTAAATTTCTAATTTTATTAAGTTGGTCCTCATTTCATTTTCTACTAGAGGCCCAGTGCACGAAATTCATGCACGGCGGGGGTGGAGGGTG